AAGTGGGACAAATGCAGTCACTTTTGCAAAGCCATATCATTAAACCAAAACTTAATAACTAACCTAATTCAGTTTCAGCCTCTTCCAGGAGTAGAATTTTAAACCAATCACCCTGGAATTTCCTGATCAGACACTTGTGAGATAATCTGCATAAGCCTCCTACCTGAAATAATCCACTCTTAACTTAGTCCCACCTCTTTCTGCTTACAAAAACCTTCCACACTGTACAACTCATTGGAGTGCCTTCCTTTCTACTCGCTAGATGGGAGAATGCCTCCTAAAGAGAAAATCACAGGCCCAAAATGCCATCAATGGGTTATAATGCCCATTATAACCAAACTTAGATGTAATACCTGATCTAAGTGCAGTTTCAACGTCTCACAGGAATGTAATATTAATCAACTAGTCTGGAATTTTCTGGTCAAACACCAGTAAGGCTCTCCCCAACCAAAAAAAAAAAAAGTCCTGGCCCCAAAATAATCCTCTTTTATTTTGTTAATAGCTCCCTTGCCCTATCCTTCTTCCTACAAAAACCTTCCATTTTGTACAGCCCCTCAGAGTACCTTTCTAGTTGTTAGATGGGATGCTGTCCAATCAATAAATTACTTAATAAAGACAATTAGATCTTCAAAGTCATTTACTTAACACACCTGATTTAGGCCACAAAACTAGCCTCAATAAATTCAAGCAGATGGAAATCCTATCAAGCATCCTTTTCTATTATAACAGCACGAAAAAACATGAAAATGTGGAGACTAAACAACATGCTACTAAACCACCAATGGATCAAAGTGGAAATCAAACAAGAACCGAAAAACTGTCTTGAATGAATGAAAATGAAAACACAAGTTTTCAAAATGTACAGGATGCAGCAAAAGCAGTTCTAAGAGGGAAGTTCAGCGCTATACAGGCCTCCCTTAAGAAACAAGAAAAATCCCAAATGACCTAACTACACCTAAAGGAATCAGAAAAAGAACAAACAAAACCCAATGTAAACAGGAGGAAGGAAATACTTAAGATCGGAGCAAAAATAAACAAAATAGGTATCTAAAAAAACAATAGAAAATATCAGTAAAACTAAAAGCTGGTTCTTTGAAAAGATAAATAAAATAGGTAAACTTTTAGCCAAATTCATCATGAAAGAAGAGATTTCATTTAAAATCATAATGAAAAAGAAGTTACAACAGACAGCACAGAAATAAAATTTTTAAAAGCATTAAAGGATACTATGCAATTATATCCCCCCAAAATTCAACAATCTAAATAACTGGATAGCCTGGCTGGTGTGGCTCAGCAGTTGAGCATCGACCTAGGATCCAGGAGATCGAGGTTTGATTCCCGATCAGGACACATGCCCGGGTTGGAGGGCGGGCAGGAGGCAGCCGATCAATGACTCTTTCATCACTGATGTTTCTCTCTCCCTCCCTCTCCCT